AGGGTTAGCCATGGTTCTGATCCCAGTTTCAGTGGCTGGGAAAACAGTCCACGCACATGTGCATCCATGCCCAGAATCCTGCGGTATGACCATGCCTCATTGAGGGGGGTGCTTTTTGCTCCCACTGAGCATATACCCCCTGTCAATTTAAATCATTCAGGACCAACCCTATGGCCTGGTGGTTAAGGAAGCCAAATCCCATATGGCCAACTGAATGGTTCAAATCTCACCCTTGGCAGCTTGAGAAACATGGTAGGTGTATGTGCATGTATACTCAGAATCCTGGCGGGATGGAAAAATGGAGAAGAGATTGCAGTGTAACTATGCCCCACGGTAGGTGCTTTCTTCTTCTTGCTCTCTCTGTCACTCTGTCTCCTGTGAATATACCACTCTCCAGTTTATAAGAATGAAAATATGTAGAGAGAGAGATAGATAGCAGCAGCCAGCCAACTGGTGGCATAGGACTAATGCAAAACTCCACAATACTAAGGCCACGTTAGAATGTCCTGGGTCTGTGTCCCAAAGGTTCCCTACGCACGCCTGGTACACATGCATGTGATCCTGGCTGACTAGGGTAGTATCACAGCATGAAGACCCTATTGAGAGAGTCTGTCTCTCCCTTTGTCTCTTTTCATGGGAGAAATATATAAATAAACTTTAAAAAGTTAAAAGAGTTAAGCAAGGTAGTAAATGTAAAGACTTAGCTCAGGAACAGGGGCATAGTAGGTATTCAGCAAATAATGAGCTGTTAAAATACCCTTACCATTTGAGAGGGTCTTTTTAGGTTTTTGCCATATAGTGCAAGAGCTTGCCAGAGAGAGGGAAAGTAAGAAATCATCCCCCAAGCCCACAATCCCTTCTCCATTCTCCTTTAAGGATTTGGGGCACACATACACATGCGCCTGGTGTGATTTTCAAGTTGCTGAGTCCAGGACTTGAACCATGGTCAACCATGGGGGAATCTAGTGCCTTAACCACCATGCCACTTGTTGGTCCACCATTTGAGCTTTTGAAACTTCTCATTCTATTTTGCATGAGGTTGAGAAAAGGAATATCCTAAATTAACTAACAGATCTCATAGTTGATCTCTGCATGCTGCCACGCATGTTCTTTTTAGTGTCCTCTACTAAGGTAGAAGGTAAGTTTTGGTCTGCACTGTGCCTTGGCCACCCCACGGCCTTTCCCTCGAGGTCTTTGTCTAACCCTGTGACAGCCACAGAACTCCGGTGTGCTGTGGGCATGGGGGTTGCCAAGGAGCCCCACACATTGCAGAAGGAGCCGGGGTCAGCCCACAGCCTGGTGGTGAGTTGGTGCATGTAGGCAGCTGCCTGAGTGCTAAGCCAGGGACAGCCTGCTGCTCTGCTCTCTAATTGCCTCTTTCCAACCCTTGCCCATTCCCTGCTCCCAAGAAGCAGGGGGAGGAGGAGGAGTTGGGAACAAGTTGTCTTTGTGTTCTGCTGTGGGCCAGCTCAGCTGCTGTGGTACAGGCAGTCATGACAGGGAAAGCACTGAAAACTCCAGAGCTGCACATAGGGTGGCAGGAGGGGAGGTTTCTGTGCCTCCTTCTGTGTTTGGGAAGAGCCCGGAAGCTGGCATATTTGTTGTGGGCTGAAGAACCCTCTGTGACATGGTTTTTGAAAATCCCTTTGTCAGCTACCATAAGGTTTTGAGGCTTCATCAGGAGTGTTATCAGCAAGTTGGGTGGGGAAGCTGCCCCATCTAGGACATTGTAGACAGGGGATCATGTAAAAAGTAAAAGGGCGTGGGCCAGCAGGTGGCATGGTAGTTAAGACGCTGGACTCCCACATGGCCAACTGTGGTTCAAATCTTGGACCTGGTGGCTTGAAACTCATGTTGGGGCTTGTGCGTATGTGTCCAAAATCCCAAGAGGAGAATGGAAGAGAAGGGATTGCAGCGTGGCCATCCTCCCTGGGAAGTGATTTCTCTCTTTCTCTGGTAAGTGCACACACCATATTGCAAAAATTCTTAAAAAAAAAAAAAAAAAAAAATGTGGGCAACCAAATGGCAAAATGGTTACGTCACTGGGATCCCACATGGCTGACTGTGGTTCAAATCTTGGATCTGGAGGCTTGGAAGCTCATGCTGGGTGCATGTGCGTACATGCCCAAAATCCCAAGAGGAGACTGGAGGAGAAGGATTATGGCACAGCCATCCCCTCTAGAGGGGGATGGTGATTTCTTGCTTCTGTCTCTGTCTAGTGAGCACATGTGCCCTATAGCAAAAATCTCTCTCTCAAAAAAAACGTAGCAGGGCCTACTTTGTGGGCATCAGGCTCTTGTGTATGCTTCCCCTTTGGCAAGGATGAGGTGCTGAGGTTGGTCAGTTCTGTGACTTACTGTGGATCGGGGACTAGAGGACTAAGGACCTTCTCTGGTGCCTCTCTGCCACCCAGCACAGTTAGTTCCTAATTTCTGCTTAGCTCTTTTTTTTTTTTTCCCTTCTAGTTGTTATTATAGGGCTCATGCGCTCCCTGGAGAGAGACAGGGAGAGAGAAGCAAAGTGAAAAATCACTCTCCAGGGGGAATGGCCATGCTACAGTCCCTTCTCCATTCTTCTCTCAGGATTTTGGGCACATATGCACACGTGTCTGGTACGAGTTTCAAGCTGCCTGGTTGGGGACTTAAACCATGGTGTTGGGATCCAGCCACCTTAACCTCCACGCCATGGCCCTAACTCTCCTTTATTTTTTATTTTTTAATTTTTTAGAAGTTTTTGCTATAGGGCGCATGAAAGACAGAGACAGAAAGCGAGAAATCACTCTCCTCAGGGGAGATGTCCATGCCACAATCCCTTCTCCTCCATTCTCCTCGGGATTTTGGGCATGCACACACACGCACCCGGCGTGAGTTTAAGCCACCGGGTCTGGGACTCAAACTGTGGTTGACTACTTGGGAGTCTAGTGACATAGGTATTACGCCAACTACTGGTCCCCTAACTCTCCTTTTTAACACTCCCTTGGCTCTTAGCAAATTTGTATGTCTATAATCCGATTGTCATGTGGTTGCAGGACCCAGTCAGTCCCAGGAACAGCAGTGCAGCAGCTCCGAAGAGGCATCCGGATCAGAAGAGGAAGAGGAAGATGAGCCCAGCTTTATCATGGGGCGATGACGATGTTTGCCATAGCAGCTCTTGGAGCAGCCTGGCTCATACTGTGGTCTCAGAAAACTTCAACATGACCAGAAGGGAAAGGAAGTTTTCTTGCACTCTGGTCTTCCCAAGGATTCCCTGAGAGAGAACAAACGGGAGCACCTCCAAGCTGTGCATAGCCCTGCCTGTTGGTGGGACTCGGGGCCTATGGGACACACAACCCTCTCTCAGACCCTCAGAGGCGCTGCCTAGCAGTGTTCATCCACGTTCTGCTAAAGGGGAAAGGGTGCCCAGCCTCCCACTCCTGGCACCTGGCCTCACATATTTGAGCAGTGATGAGTTTGGGGCTGGTTATTGTGAAGGGAACACTTATTTAGTAAAGAGAAAACCCTTAGATTTTTTTCAGACGTGAAACATTTAATTGCAAAAGCTATAGAGAAGGCTAGGAACTAAGCGTGGGGCCTCAAGATTCAACAGGTCTTGTTACATGGACCTGTTCCCAGACTCTGCAAGAAATGGTCTTGGCCCTGGGGCTGACTCGACCTCCATTCCCTTCAGTGGAGATGCGGCTCCCAGGGTGCGTTGTGCCTCAGGAAGCCCCGGGTGTGTGCGTAGGGGATGTGGGCTGGGCCACAGATGGGAACTTGATGTGTGGAAAGAGCTGTTGGGAGGGAAATAGTGACTAGGAAAATCAGCTGGTCAAGATCCGGGCTGGGCAGAGCACAGGAATCCTGGCTGAGTGGAACTGCGTGTTCATCCTGAGGTCAGAGAGGTTCCATGTTGAAAAAGACTGAAAGAGGCTTGACTGGCTGGAGATGAGAGGGAAGTGTGCAGCTCTTAGGGACTGAAGCCCTCGGGCTCTCTGCCGGGGTCACATAGGAGCTAGGGTCAGAGAGGAGCAGGCCCAGAAGGGAACCAGCCCCTGCAGGGTGCGGGGCATTGTGCTGGGTGCCAGGGGCCTTGGGGGGTAACTAGGTCAGCCTCAGACCTGGGCAGCCTTCAGGTAGCCAACAGGGATGCTTTATGATTAGGGCCTTCATTCAGTTTTTGGATTATTTATCTCCAGCTTCAAGTCTTAAGTATATTTTGTGCCTTTAATGGATCTGATGGAATTAAGGAAATGGTTTTGAGTTAATAGGAAACAGACACATTTTACTTGTGTAGTATAAATGTTGCTGGTCCCACTCAGCCATGTGACATCTATGATCCCTATGATCAAATCATAGGGACTTTTTTCCCTCAGGAATTACAAAGGTGGAGGAGTAAAGTTCTCTGACTTTTGGAAAGAAGGAATCTAATTCAATCCAATCCCTAGGGCCACTTGGCAGGAGAGCAGTGTGGAAACTGTTTCATTTGCCATCGACATGAAAACAGGCCTGCTTTTTCTCTCCGTCACTCTGGAAATTAATTTACATTTACTATTTGGCATACTTGACTAAAGTGAACTACAATTACCATATATTAGCATATATTTCAATAAAGAGAACACTTAGAGATTAGCCTGGAGCAAGCCTTAGGTGGAGTTTTGAGTTTCCTTTATTCCTTAGAGTGTAGCAGATGTTTACTGAGCACCCACAAGTGCTAAATCTAAAGGATCCCAAAGCCCAGTGCTAGGCACCAGGGATGATGGCGAGCAAGACACCATGGAGATCTGATGTGCAGTGCAGGGTGTGGGCGTCTGACGTAGGCCTTTGGGAGGGCAAGGGCTGAACTGGGCTGGAGTAGCTGCTCAGTAATGCAGGAGTGCCAAGAGAGCAAGCTGAGGAGGGAGTCGATGCCCTCCCATGGCTTCTGCTGTGTGGCTGAACATCCCTGCCGAAACTCATGTGGGGCCAGCAGGTGGCCTGGTGCTAGCACTGGACTCAACATTGCCTACCCTGGGTTGAGTCCTGGACCTGGAGGCTTGCTTTCTCACTTTCTCTTGCTTGCTCTCTCTCTGGTGAATTAATAAATAATTTTTTTAAAAAATTCATTTGCCAGGTAGCAGTATTAGGGGGTAGTACCTTCGTGGGGGCGATTGGATCCTGAGGGCCCTGCCTTCAGGAATGGATTAATGCTGTGACAGGAGTGGGCCCCCATGGAAGGATGGATTCAACCTGATTTCCTCTGTCTGTCCTTGCTTGCCCTTGCCCCGCTGCCATGAGATAATGCAACAGGGAGGCACTTGCAGATGCAGGCACCATACTCTTGGACTTCTCAGCCTCCAGAACCCTGAGCCAAATAAACAGTCTTACTCCATGTAACAGAAAGACACCCCCAACCCAGCCAGCCCAGATTATGGACACACTGAGCACGGGCAGGGAGGTCCAGGCATTACCACTTAGCCACTATCTGGTCCCAGCCTTTTCTTTATGAATCTCTGCTGGCCACCCTATGGCATAGTGGTTAAGGTGGCTGGCTGCTGTTCTAGTCCCAGACCAGGTGACTTGAAAAATTTGCCCGGTGCATGTGTGCCACAAATCCCGAAAGCAGAAGTGGAACGGGATTGCAGCATGACTATCCCCCATGGGAGGTGTTTTTTCCTCTCAGTCTCCCTCCAACAAAAGAGAAAAGTCTAGTATTGTTATAGCAGCAAAAGACAGACGAGGACCACTTCCAAACTGTGAAGCAGACTGGAGTTTATATAAGGCCATAAGGAACCACCGAAGGGTGGTGGAATGGAGAGACCGGAGGGGCATCTTTCACTTGGCAGTGCAGAGATATGGGGGTGATTCTTGGAGTAATGCAGACCAGGGGTGAAAATAGCCTGGGTAAGTATACAGTCTGGGGGTGGAGGTCAGGGGGCTGATTCAAGGACATTTAGGTGGGAGAATTCATAGGACTTGGGGAGAGAAGAATCCAGGGTGACACCAGATTGGTAGCGTCACCAGCAGGGTAGATGATGGAACATTCTGAGACAGGTGACAGAGGAAGTGGAGCAGGAAT